CATCGGTTTTGGAATATTTTTGCCTTTTTTTTTGACATTTTTGCTTGTTTCCGCCTTTTTTTTTGCACTTTTTTGCCTGTTTCCGCCTTTTTTTTGCACATTTTTGCCTGTTTCTGATGATTTCTTGCACATTTTTGCCTGTTTCCGACTTTTTTTTGCACATTTTTGCTATTTTTCGACCGTTTCTAGACTATTTTTTGGACATTTTCGCCTTTTTCTGAACTATTTTTTGGACATTTTTGCATTTTTGAAACATTTCTATTTTGGGGAGGGGCCCCGTTTTGAATATTTTTGCCTTTTTTGGACATTTTTGTTTGTTTCCGAGTTAATTTTGCACATTTTTGCCTGTTCCGACTTCTTTTTTTGCACATTTTTGCTTTTTTCCAACCATTTCTGGACTATTTTTTGGCCATTTTTGCCTTTTTCTGGACTATTTTCTGCAGATTTTTGCCTGTTTCAGATGATTTTTTGGACATTTTTGCCTGTTTTTGGAGCGTTTCTGGACTATTTTTTGGACATTTTTGCCTGTTTCAGATGTTTTTTTTTTGACATATGTTCCTTTTCTGGATTGTTTCTGGACTATTTTTTGGACATTTTTGGCTTTTTCTGGTCCTTTTTTTGGACATTTTTGCCCTTTTCTGGACTATTTTTTGCACATTTCTGCCTGTTTCAGACGATTTTTTGGACATTTTTGCCTGTTTTTGGAGTGTTTCTGGATTATTTTCTGCACATTTTTGCCTGTTTCAGATGATTTTTTTGGACATTTGTTCCTTTTCTGGATTGTTTCTGGACTATTTTTTAGACATTTTTGGCTCTTTCTGGTCCTTTTTTTGGACATTTTTGCCCTTTTCTGGACTATTTTTTGCACATTTCTGCCTGTTTCAGACGATTTTTTGGACATTTTTGCCTGTTTCAGATGTTTTTTTTTTGACATATGTTCCTTTTCTGGATTGTTTCTGGACTATTTTTTGGACATTTTTGGCTTTTTCTGGTCCTTTTTTTGGACATTTTTGCCCTTTTCTGGACTATTTTTTGCACATTTCTGCCTGTTTCAGACGATTTTTTGGACATTTTTGCCTGTTTTTGGAGTGTTTCTGGATTATTTTCTGCACATTTTTGCCTGTTTCAGATGATTTTTTTGGACATTTGTTCCTTTTCTGGATTGTTTCTGGACTATTTTTTAGACATTTTTGGCTCTTTCTGGTCCTTTTTTTGGACATTTTTGCCCTTTTCTGGACTATTTTTTGGACGTTCTTGCCTGTTTCAGATGATTTTTGGACATTTGCTCCTTTTTTGGATCATTTCTGGACCATTTTTTGCACATTTTTGCCTGTTTCTGGACCATTTCTTGGACATTTTTGCCTTTTTCTGGACCATTTTTCTGGACGTTTTTGCCTGTTTCCGACATTTTTTTTTCCACATTTTCACCTTTTTGGACTTCTTTTTGCACATTTTTGCCTGTTTCAGACGATTTTTTGGAAATTTGTTCCTTTTTTGGACCATTTCTGGACCATTTTTGGCACATTTTCCCGGACCATTTCTTGCACATTTTTCCCCTTTTCTGGACTACGTTTTGCCCATTTTCACCTGTTTCCGACGTGTTTTTTTGCACATTTTTCCCTTTTTCTGACCCTTTCTGCTTCCCCTTCTCCCCCAGCCCCAAAATTCCCCTTTTTTAGGTGAAAACCCCCCATTTTTTTACCTTTCGGAGCTTGTCGTACTCGATGAGCTCCGGTCGGTGCCGGTGGATGAGGGCGTTAAAAGCCAACCCGTCCTTCCAGCTGCCAAAAAAAGGGGAAAAAGGGGTTTTTTGGGGGTGTCCGGGGCAGAGTGACCCCCCCCCACCCCAAAAAAGGGGTTTTCAACCTTAAATCCCCCCCCTTTTTTTCCAAATTCACTCTTTTCCCCCGGAAAAATCCTGGTAGAACAGGGCAGATTTTTGACACCCTCCCCCTCCCCAAAAAAGTTGCATTTTCCCTTTTCCTAAAGATTTTACCCCAAAAAGAGGTTTGGGGGGGGGCAGAATGAGCTCCCCCCACCCCAAAAAAGGGGTTTTCAACCTTAAATCCCCCCCTTTTTTTTCCATCCCTTCCAAATTCACTCCTTTTTCCAGGAAAAATCCTGGGAGAATGATGCAGATTTTTGACACCCCCCAAGAAAAGCTTTATTTTCCCCTTTTCTAAAGATTTTACCCCAAAAAGAGGTTTGGGGGGGGGCAGAATGAGCTCCCCCCACCCCAAAAAAGGGGTTTTCAACCTTAAAATGCCCCCCTTTTTTTCCAAATTCACTCAATTTCCCAGGAAAAATCCCGGGAGAAAGATGCAGATTTTTGACACCCCCCCAAAAAAAAAAATTTTCATTTTCCCCTTTTCTAAAGATTTTACCCCCAAAAGAGGGTTGGGGGGGGGGCAGAATGAGCTCCCCCCACCCCACAAAAGGGGGTTTCAACCTTACATTACC